GAGAGGTTCTCTTGGCTTGAAAAAATAAAAAAGGGGGACCTGGCCGGAGCCATTAGAGCCCGGCTGCCTGCCTGTCCAGAGCCAAAAGAGCCCGCTGTTATCTTGCCATAGATAACGGGAATTTTTCCATTTACCGGTACAACCCGCCCTGCGGTTTTCTCAGTAAACCATCTGCATACTTAATTATCTGCTGATTGCCTCCTGCTGTCTATATAAACTGTGACCTTCTGGCTAATAAACGAGACTTGATCAGAAAAAAAATAAAATAAAATAAAAAAAAATAAAGAGGCAATGTTTATATAAAATAATGATACATCCAGCATTTAAAATTATATTTATGTGCAGTTTTTAATAACATGAAAAACACTTCTATTATTGGTTCAAATGAAAAAGTAGAATAAAAATATACATGTATGTAAATATATGATACTAATCACCTAGAGATCTTGTTAAATATAGATTCTGATTCAGTAGGCCTAAAATGGTGGCCAAGATTCTGCATTTTTTAATTGACACGATGCCAGTGCTGCTGGTCTACAGACCACTTTGTGAGAAGCAAAGATATATATATGTATAAAAAATACAATCACACCTATATAAGAAATGCATAGGAAAAAAATATGACAAAAAATTCACCGAACATTGAATGGTATTATGCTATATATTGAGCTGGAGCCATGAATGAGGGGTTTCATAAAAATATGTTTTACTAGAGTTTCCAAATTTTCTGCTTCTATACGAAGAAAAAATGACATTAATGTTCTGTATTATAGGTTTACCTGAATCTATAGTAAGAAAAAATGACAGGGGATATTTGGGGAATATCTGCATCATTTGTTTAATTTTCTTGTGACCATAAAACTGCTCTAAAATATAAAGTCTATTAAAAAATAATAATCTGCCTTAATTTTCTTTTAAGCAGTACTTAATGTTGAAAACCAACAGCTTGCTGATGAGGCCATTTGTATAGCCTGGTAGAAAATCAAGTCTATGTATGTTTCATTCTTTTTTCTCACTTTAACTATGCTGTGAACATTGGTTTCTGGCATTTTTTTTTTTTTTTACCAAATCCTTCTACATTTTTAAGAAAAGGAAAAAATATATAATTCCAACTTCT